TAAACAAAAATGTAGTTCATCATCAATCTTTTTTATACACATTCAGTTGTAGCAAGAGAAGAGTTAATTGTGCCATGCTAGAGTTAATAGTTTCTTATAGGATCTATGCTACATGTTTGACATTTAAGTAAAACTGAAAGCAGCAATAAAGGTATGCAAGCAGTCAGGGGCAGTCCTAGCCTATTTGGTGCCTTGGGCGAACAGAGGCAGATATCGTCCAAAATGAGGACAATGCTGGATAATACCTCAAACCCACTCAATGACGTGCTGGCTAGTCACAGGAGCACGCTCAGTGAGAGACTGAGATTACCAAAAAGCACCACTGAACGACACAGGAAATCATTCCTGCCTGTGGCCATCTCCCTGTACAACTCCTCCATCTAATACACTGTAAACACTGCAACGGTTGCACCCTTTTTACACACGCTCTTTTCTAGTCTGGAATATTCTTGTCAATTTTCTTGATATTTATTTATAATCACCTCTGTTAATTCTCAATATTTATAATTGAGTGATCTGTATATATTAGTGCTATTTCTTCAATTTGTAAAATCTGTAATATTTTGTATTGTTTGTAGTTTAGTCTTATTTCTTATTGGAGCAACTGTAACCCACATAATTTCCTTAGGGATTAATAAAGTATTATTAATATGATTCTGATTGTGTCAGGATGACCTGCCATTGTCCATTGACCCATCAGCTTACCTGTATCTTTTGCTTGTTTCTCCTCTTCTTTTCTCTTTTTTTTCCTAAACTGAGCGCCTGATGGCTTTGAACCTTTCTCGTCCATCTTCCATTGGTTTTAATTTTGCACTCCAGTATGAACACCCATCCCCCAACCCGAGGATCAGCACAACATAACCTAATAGACCTACACCTTAGTGCACAGATCTGGTTTGTCTAGGGTTTAGTTCTGGGATTTCGCCCAACCCAGGAAAAAATTATGAATATATAATGGGCTTGGATTGACAATATTATGAATAAAATGTGCTCTATTTGGAAGCAGCCGGACTCCTTCCCCTTTCGACAGGTTGTTTGTGAGACTTCAGCACTGAAGCGGCAACAAGCAGGCGCACCGAGGGCCCTCACGCTCACGCGTATATGTGTGTGATAGAATTCAGAAAAAAACATTGGTGAAGATTATAAGTCTGTATCACAATGTCTGGTGTTTTAGATTTTGTTGGTTTATTTTAAAATTATTATTTTTTTTTTTTGCGAGCTGGTTATTAGATGCCGCTCCAGCCAACCAGAACCCCCCCCTCCCCCTCCCTCCCTCTCCTCCCTGTGGGCAAGAAACAGGCGCACCTCGCATTTACTTCCCGCTAATGGGGGATAGAAAACCAAAACACACCACTGCACAAGCATTTCAATAGAGCACAGTCCATTTGGAAATCTCATGATTAACAATTCACCACCCCGTAGTGATGGCTGTTACTCTAAGGATTTATCATAAATATAAACCTCAAGTCTTATAGGGTTTCACAGTTATAGTTCATAAATACGATATACATCAGCATGATGCAACAAAAATACTGCTGACAGAATGGAAATTTAAAAAAAAATAATCCATAAAAGTATAAGCTTTTCAAAACTGGACAAAATTCAACTCCATACAGTATCAGTCACACTATTTATTTATGTTAACATAATGTATAATACATTATACTGCACAAAAATGTATTGTTGCCCTTGTGTAAAAACAGAGTATTGGGTCTATATTATTACATACTAGCTAATCTGTGTACCCTGCACTGGAGATAGGGACTAGAAATATTTATATACTAGGATATACAAGATGCTATGATATATGCTATAATATGATGCTAAAATACATTAAATCAGACACGCCACTCTAATCTGATATTCCATTATTGCTCAGTTGAACTGTCAAATACATAATTCTATATGATTCTGAGACTTTTGTAAATTATTTATGCATTGCATGGGCCACTCACAGTGCCCCATGCAGTGCTTATGGAAGGTTTTATCAAGATTGTCTCACTCAGAGGATGTAAGGAAGACATATGGCATGCATATGCTTTGATCATTATAGTATGATTACATTATGCTTCTCTTTGACTTTGCTGCTGTTGCTCTCTTCACTGACCTGTAAGGCAAACACAAAATACAAAAAGTAAGGATGTTATGTGGTGAGGCCATTTAATCTTGTCAAGGGATATTGTCAATGTAATGAGACATTTCAGTGCATGGCTGTTGTGAGCTTACCTGCAGTTCCCATATTCACATCAGTGTAAATAATACTCTTATGTGGTTTATGATTCTTCCCTGCTGAGATAATCAGATGAATGAGCAAAAGAAAATAATTAATGTGTATTTCAGTGCTGGAGGTGAAAACCTTTCTTAACTAGATTTTTAAATGTATTTAAAAAAAATTTTTGTAATTTTAAATTGCACATGTTAGATACTCACTCTCCATCCCAAAGTCTTTAACCTCTATAAGAGAGTATGTGGCTTCAGGTGATTCATCTTCCTCTGAAATGTAATTTTTTTTAGTTAGAGGATTATAAAAAATGATCATCTGGATTAGTGTTTTTAATTCAAATGTTTATACATCTTTAACCACCAGAAGTAACAAAGTACAAATACTTCATCATTGTGCAATTTTCATCTGTATTTGTATTTTTTTTCTGACAACTTTTTTCTTTTACTTCCCACTTTTTAAACAAACATCTGTACTTCCCACTCCCATTTTTAAAACAGGTTTGTTACTTATGGTTTTGTGCATTTATGGGGAGTTATTATTTCATCACTGCGCTTCTTCACAGTAACACATGAAAGGAAATCCTGTTTTTGTACATTATCCTTTAACTCTCACATCAATAATGTCACTCGCTCAGCATATTTCCAACTCCGTAACATCAATCTCCTCCGCCCCTTCCTCACTCCACATGCCACTGCTATCCTCGTCCATAGCCTCGTTACCTCTTGGATCGACTACTGTAACTCACTCTCAGATCATCTCCTTTCTCTTTCTGTTCCTTCCTCTCGTCTTGTTTCTATGGGGGGCAGGGCTTTTAGCCGCTGTGCACCCCGACTTTGGAATTCCTTATCCCCTGACCTCAGAAACATCACCTCATTCCCTCTTTTTAAGTCCAACCTCAAAACCCACCTGTTTAAAATTGCCTACTCCTCATAACCTATCCCTGATATTAAACTTTCTATCTGCTATTCTTATTATTGTGTGTATTTCATGTTTTTTATGCCTGTTTTTATTTGCTGTACAGTATCCTTGGGTGTTTTGAAAGGTACTTTTAAATAAATAAAATGTGTTATGATGATGATGATGATTATTATTATTAATGCATTTTTTTAAGAGGCAAAACCATGTGTAATAGTCGGGGGTTACAGTAGGCTGTTTTTTTAATGGGTTTTTTTGGCACTTTGTCAGACGTTTTTAAGTGTCAGATAATTTGAAATGAATCGTATTTATCGGAAGAAGGGTTAGAGTTAAAGGTAGGGACTGCTCAGTGAAATTTTAATAAACTGGAAATTTAAAGCTTACATGTAAGTCTTATTGTTTTTAAATCAGACATCAGGTCTGTACATATGAAGTTATGTTATTCAGATTGTGAAACCTGCTTCAAACAAACTGAGGTACCTAACTGTGTTTCTTAAAGGTTGCATGAAAATCCACTGCAGTTTAGTGCAGATTAGACAGGTTAGTTTGGTGTATTGTGATGGATTTATAGTAAAGAACAGTGTGCGACTGGTGCTCTTTATCAGAGAGGTTGCATAAAAGGTATTAAAGATGAATTTGAAATTAAGCAGATGATGGTTGTATAGTGTATAATATTAGAAAGCATAAACAGTGTAAAGGATAGAAATTAGCAGTATTAACACATCTGCAGACATCTTGTTGAATTCAAATCCACAAAGAGCAGCAGGTACATTAACTCTGTGATATTCAAAAGATAATGTGTACCTTTTGCAGTATCTTCCAAGTCGTGGATTGTTTCATAGATGTGATGATTACCTTGACAAAGATAATAAAATCAGAGTCAGAGTTTCATTTCAATACATTTAAAATAATTATTTATATTTCTAACTGCTGTGTGCTATTCAAAAGATCCCATGTACCATTTGCAGTGTCTTCTGAGTGATGGGCTGTTTCATAGAGTTCATATTCACCTTAAAAAGACAAGGTCAGAGTATCATGTTAGAGTTTAATGTATTACAGCAATTACATATTTTTGTTAAAGTGCAAAGACACCAAATTAATTTAACTTGATTTTTTTCCCCCTAACTTTTTGTGTTCTGGATTTTTGCCCTTGATTGATGGTCTTTGAAAAAAAGTTGACCAGAACTTTATGAAGACTAATTATTAATGCTAAACTTTGGTTTTATGACTGACCAGGGTGAAGAGATTTGTATTCATGGGTTTCATCCTGATTGTCTCCATGATTTCTGGTGGAGTCTTGACTGTTGATGTCCGACTGGATCGGCCTAATGAAAACATAACAAATGCACAGATAATAACATTGTGCAGAAAATTCAGAACAGTAAAAGAAAACACTGCTGAATGTTTAGAGTGAAAATAGGAATATAAAGTTTTATACCAACCCAGTGAAGCATAAGTCTGTTAAAAGAGAAAAAAAAAAGTATTGTTTCTCTCAGTGCAAATTCTTTTACTTCTATTTTGTGCCATGACATCATCATATGTTGATGTATTTGTAAAAATGTCTCACCCTTTGCCTTTCTATAGCGATACATTACAAGCAGGAAAATAAGAAGAAGAGAGACTCCACAAACAAGTCCAACAACCAACCACACAGGACATGAAGTCCTTTTAGATCCTGATGGAGCTACTGTGACTGTAAACATTAGCAGTAAACATTTAGAGACTTGAGAAATCTTTCTAAAAATGTTCTTACGAAAGTAGAGTCAGGTGAAAGAAAGACAAACACATACTCATTAATATACTCTATGGTGGCTATGATAATCATTTACAGAAATCCATCAAATGTTTTGATCCTGCTCACCTTTAACTGACATCCAGCTCTGTGCTGACTCTCTTCCTGAGTACTGACACTTGTAGAAACCTTCATCAGACTTTGACACTGCAGAGATCTTCAGCTCCCCTCGGGGATCATTTTCAATAAGTTTGTCATTGTGATAGAAAAACACATTGGAAAGTATTTTTTGTGTTCTCAAGCTGCAGCTCAGACTAACAGAAGCTCCCTCAGTCACAGGATGAACAGGACTCACCAGGATAGGACCATTACCATCATCTGTGAAATAATGAATGATGTTCCTGTTAGTCAGCGGGTAACCTTGAGGAAAAAAAAGCTGAAGGTCACAAAAATCACATCATCATGTTATTTTGGCAGCTTCAGCTTTTTGAAGGTTTTCTGAAGGTTAGGGTTGTGTTGTGTTGAAGAACTACTGTACATTTCCTAAAAGTAACTCTTTTTTTTTTTTTACCAAATATATATATGACCTATAAAATATATAGTGCCTTAGACATCAAACGTTAATCTCATAAGACAGTCCAAATCAAATCTGTCTACTCACCAGCTGCTTGTTTATGCAGTAGCACATATCAAACACAGCCACACAAGAAAAGAGGAACAGGAGGTGTTATTTTAGATGTACTCTGATTTGATGGGTTTCTGTTGAGTTTACGATTTTCTTTTTATTAATTTTTTTTTTTTTTTTGTATATATGTTAAAAAGGAATATTTGGTACTCTGAAAACTCTATGCAGCGGCGACCCCACCTCTAGCAGAATTATGAAAACAATTTTTCTTTTTTTCATGACATTTACTACTTATTCACTGATAAGGGTCGAGCTAAAATAAGACTTACAATTGCCTAAATGTCCCACTTTTTGTCTGTTTTTGACAGATTTACTTTCATACAGCAACGTAGTGGGGAAACATTATGAGCTAATAAATAACATAAACGGGGGAAAAATGACCAAAAGAACATGATGAATGTATAATAACATACTCTGTACAGTGATGTTGACCGCACTGCTGAACTCTCCTGATCCAGACTCACACCAGTACACTGCAGTATCTGACTTTGATGTGTTGATGTCACATGTGGATCCAGTCATTCTCCTACAGTCAGAGTACAGTCGGCCGTCCTCAGAGAACTTCCTCACTCTCCACTCAGTGAAGTTTCCCTCACAGGTCAGTGAGACAGAGTCAGAGGT